ACCGCCTTATACATACACATACTCCTCACGAGGAAAGAAACTACACCCTAGGGACAAATTGAGTGTGAGAGGATTTTTTTAATTCAATTTGTAAAGGACAGTTTAAAAAAAACACACAAAATGTTAGTAACACGCTAGAACATTGGCTTGTTCATTTGACATTTTCTCTATCTTCACCAATTTTTATTACAAAAATCAGAAAAGTAAAAACCCATTATAATATTTGCACAGTGTAACCACAGTGTCACCTAAACAAAAGCTAATTTCTATAAAACCATAAACTTAACAATTTTATTAAAAGAGATTCAAAATTCTCTCTGTTTACTGGATATACATAGTGGTATATATTTTAAAGCAGAAAACCCCCAGAAAAACAAAAACAAAGAAAATATAAGTCAGAATGGTCAGTTACACATTTTGACCTGACAGTTCCTACGAATAGTAACTTCCACTACATATAAAGGAAACCGTTATCTGCGGTAAAAATTCTAGAGACAAAGTAGGAAATGTGTAATAAAAACAATCAATCAGAAGTCAGTCCCTGGCTGCATGTGTTTTCAATGAAACCCAGGCAGTGAGTTAAATCAGGAAAGAAGGGACATGACTTATGTGTCCAAACCACTGTGTTGTCTACAAGCGAGACCTTTATAAGTCAAGTTGCAAAGTTTCAATGAAAGAACTTTGAAAAGCACAAATGTTTTCTTCATACAAATCACTGCAAGTCATCTTTGTAAGGCTGGACCTTGCATAGGGAAATAGCTGTCTTCTCTCAAAAATTCTGCAGGAATGAGGAAAAAGCAAGCTTTTCAAAATGATGCCCATGTGCAAAGAGTTAAATTACCAAGCACCTCTTTAACTGCCTCCAATTTATCTTTATGAGATATGACAAAAGGAAAAATTGCCAATTTATGGTGACAGATTGGCAGCAGAAAAATTAAATTCCAAAAGTGCATCGTCAGAGTCTCGCTACCTACAGAAGAAACTCTGATGCACTAAATATGCCCCATTCGTGCTTTCACTAGGACTCACGAGGAACTTGTATAAATACAAGTTTGCTTTTTCAGAAAGTCAAAGTATAAAAAAATAGGACAAGTCGTGGCATTCCTTTAAAAATTGATGCTACATTAGTATTCTGAGTTGGTTACTAGGAAGGATTAATGCTTCCAGACAGAGCCCGGCCACTTGCCTTTAAGAGCCATGGTAGAGGTTCATGGTACCCAGGACGGCAATGTCGTACCTTTCTTCCACCTTCACAGAATTGGAATGCTCTATTACACTATTAAGCTCAGGGATGCTTTCAGCAGTGTCCCCGAACCCATGGTAATGTCCATAGTGCAAATTTTCCCCAATATCTTCCACCCAGGAAGGTCTATTAGCTATGCAGCTACTTGGACTCCCATTCAGGTGCAGAGAACCGCACATCTCAGGGTTAACGCTCATGGTCTTTTCTGGCTCCTCAGTCCCATTAACACAGAGAGAACCCTGGCTACTCGGAAATGGTGGTCCTGGAACTAATCCATTGCTAATTCCATTAGATCCTGTTAAGCACTGGTTATTCCTGCTTTCCATCCCATTGATCTGAGTCGTGGAAGAGAAGTCCAAATGTCCATTGATGACACATCCGTTTGTCAATGTATTCGATACGGAGCTACTGTTTTTCATATCTGCATTAAGAAATACACCTGTCACCAAAATTCAGAACCAGAGGGGAGGAAAACTATAAAATGCTTCATTGCTGCTACAATTTTAAAGGACTTATTCAGTTTCTTTTCTTTTAAACAAACCAGTTCCTTTTCCAAAGTGAAAACCATACATAGATTTTAAAATAAAACACAACGGCAGCATTTGCCTGGTAAGAAAGGAAACATTTATCCATTTCAGGAGTATTGGGAAGCCAAAATTAAAAAAACTTAAGTTGACAAATATACTGCATGAAAAATACCAATGGTACTGAAAAGCTGTCAAAAAAACTTCCCATTTTAGTCTCCTCTCGGAGAAAGGTTTTTAAAATCACCCCTCAGAAAGTCCATCAGAACTGAATGTAGGGATTCCCACAAAAGGCTGAAATAAAACACAAACTTCTGCAGCACTTAACAAGGGGAAAGCGGTTATGAAGCAGGTGAACTAAGGCAGCTCCTGGACGTTCCTCACACGTCAGGAAAGCGTACCCAGGAATACGCGGAGGAACCGCTTTTCCCTTCCACACTCAAACCTAACGGTCCTCCTGCCAGTGCCACCGAGCAGCTCCGCAGTGCCCAGCACAGCGACCACAGGCGGGAACTAATGGTTCTCATGCACAGTCTTGGGCCAATGGCAGTTCTGCAGCTTCTTCTGAGTTCAGCAATTAAGGTGATCATGACATCCAAGGTTCCACTTTCAAAAACAACTTATACTGGAAAATGTTGATAGGTTAATCTGCATCCATTAAAAGAAGGATGTCTTACAAAAAAAATGTCAGTCACAAAACGTTTGGGCACATGGGAATAGGCAATTACAAGGTATTTTTCTGTATAATGACACTAGAGAGTTAATATTCATGTTCACAGTTCACAGCACAGTATAGAGAATGATCTAAAATTATGTCTTGCTTACTAATATTAAATTTTAATGTTCTGCGCTATTAAAGCATGATATGATATTAAACACAGAAGAGCTAAGCTATAATAGATGAGGACCCATTTTGCATATCTGGTCACCCTGACATCTCACACAGTGCGCCTGTCCCTTGAAGGGGCCACTTTTGGGTTCACCGCCTATAGACCTCTGACTTGTACTCGAACACAGGTTTTTGTGTGTTTTGCAAATCTCCCTGCCAACAAAAAAATCACAGCTTGTTCAATGAACAAAGATCTCCTAAACATTCCATTAATCATCAATTTTCTGGCAATTTAAATGCCAATCATAGTTTAATAATTATTATAAATTCTTCAGAAGATTATGACAATTTTTTAAAAAAGTAAATGATAGCTTTTCTAGTTAGGTAAAACTCAAGGGTAGAGAGCAAGTGTTTTAAGAACTAAATATGAAGTGAAATAAAAAGGAAAAAAACAAGCTGTTCCAGGGAAATATTTAAATTTTTTTTAAAGTATAAAAACTGTTCCTGGGTGATAAAACTCATGGGTATGGTGGCAAGTTTGATAGTTATTAATAACTGGTTTACTACCAACAAAGGTGAAAATCCGATTTTTAGTGACTGGGTCTGCAAAGGTAAATGAGCATGGCCTCAGAAATCTGAGTTAACGAGACACACTTTTTTTTGTTTAATGTTCACAGTGTGAGTACTGCTTTCCTTTAGTGAATTATGCAATCTCAAAATCAAGGTTAGTAGATCACCTCATGTCATTGTAAGAAATCTAATAAAACTGAGCATGCAAATAGCAGACATGCTAGAAAATGGCTAAGACATAGCCCCACTGGCCAGCTCCAATACTGTACTTTATTCTGTTCCAAACTGCCTTTCAGGACTCACCCACTTACTTTTCTGCTACAAGTAATCTTTAGCTATTTTAATGTTTGCTTATTCAGTCAGATAATGTTATAAATGAAATGATGGAGAAAATATGAGGATGCTTACTTGGCACCTATATATGGGATGAGCTGGGCTTGAAAAAAATTATGGCTTTTTTAATGTTACGTTCATTTTGGTATTAAATTTAACCTGAAAACCCAGGGAATTAATGTTTGAAGATTAAAGAGTGATTACTTATGCCTTTTTAAAAGCATGTAGCAATGCCATTAAAAAAACAAATTGGCTTTGATTCATTTAATTATTTGGCAAAAAGGTGACTCCTCCCATAACAATTCTGTAGCTTCTAGAAAGATGTATACACTTTTTTTTGAACAGAAATGATTATTTTCATGTAAGTCTGGGAAACAAAATATATAATCTTTATCCCCAGTAGAGAATTTGGCATAAAGACATAATAAAAATTTTAAAAAGCCAGCATCTATTTCTAAATATAATAATACAGTAAAAGAATGGCTAAAATATTTTTATGGTACCTAAATAAGATTGTAGAAAAAAGCATGAACTAAATGGATAAATCTTAAAAAGCTGAAAGAAACTGAGACTTTGCCTTTTAAAAATGGATAATGACTATCAATACTAAAATTTTAATATACTAAAAATGTTAGTGTATAGAATGTGTTTTGTGAGACACGGTGGTCAGCATTTTACTAGACCTAGAGCGTGTGGCACAGAAACCAGAGCAACCACTGAGCGTCGAATGACAGATTATGTACTGGCGTGACTGGTTACAAGTGAAACCACAATGTTTACTAGTTCTCAATGTTTATGGCGAGTCAGACTTCTGGCTGTTAATCGCTTTGAAATTACTAGCAATAGGCGTTCATTCAGTGTATTCACCCAAAGTCCTCCGTCAGAAAAAATGCAAAACCTTATTAAAACTAAACAAGGCACATTAAGCAAAAGTTTAAAATCAAAATATAGAGATTGCACTTATATTTTTCATATCCATAGAATGCACCGAAAACACTTATCCTTGTATCTACAAACTTGCCCAAGATATGCAAATTATAACATAACATTCTTTGAAACACTAGACAACAAAGTGCAAAACTCGTTTGAAAGAAGCTGTTAGAAATAATATGCATACTGATTCTTGCAACGACAAGGGGTCTGCATTGCTGAAACAGTATATATTTCTATTTCTTTTGGTCCAACAGAACCACCCTCCTGCTGTGTGGTGTCTTCGACCATTGGACTGTTGTTGCAGCTAACAGGAAACTGTCCACTCCCACCTGTTACAACAGCAAACTCTCTATCGATGTGCATTTTGTCAGCATCATCTTCTGCCTCGCTGTTCACGAGCGGCATGCAGTAATCCAAGCTCTGAGCTGCACAGGAAACAAAGGCAATTTTAGTTCCAACGCACATACAAAAAGACTTTACGACAAATGTTTCTCATTCCTTTTTGTTCGAGCACTGAACATTCCAAAATTTTCAAATAATTTCATCATCTACACGACAAATGATCTTAGTATACTACTGAGAAACTTTTCCGCAGCATTACAAATATTTTTACATTCAGCATATTCTATATTATGCCTCAAAATGTCCATTCAATTGTTTTTCATAAATACTAGGACAGTTCTTGGTAACATAAAAATCATGAAAATGATCCTCAAATAAAAAAAAATCAGATTTCAGTAACAGAAAATAAGGTAAAAGCCAAGACTCAAGACAGGCCTGTCGATACTGTTCCCGTGTGGTACTGCCTATGCTTCTAGATAAAATAACATTAAAGTTTTAGTTCCAAGATATTTGGAGCTGATGCTATATGTACATTTCTTGTAAAATTATTCTCTGTATCTTGGAGAAAAGCTACTATGCACACTTAATCACTTTTCCTCCAAGAACTACATACTCTGTGCAGAAATACCCCCACCCCCAACCCCCGCAAACCCTAGTATCCCCACTTCTCAGGAGCAGCCACTCTCATTTGATATACACAAATCTGGTCTTAAGCATGTATTTTTCTTCAAAATCAGATCCTAAAAATCATTTTTATGCTTTGCTTTTATTCATTTACCATGGCATAAACGTATCAACTAAATTCAAAAGAATCTTTAAAGTTGGAAATCCATTGTACGGCTGTATAACTTGCCCGCCACCAAATTCCCTGCTACTGCTTGGGTTGCTTCCGTTTTCTTTCCTATTGTGAACACCATAATCAAATCAATATCCTGATAAAGGCATCTTTGTGCACATTTCTGGGTCTTTACTCAGATAAATAACTAGCATTATTTTTGGGTCAAAGAATAAGCAATAACATTTAGTGCTAAATATTTCTTTCAAATAATTTAAAATCAAAGACTTGAATTTTGCAGCTTTAATTACTTCTAGTTTAGAGGTACACAAGTCATTTTCAATACAGGAATGAGCATATTCCAGATTATTCCCTTAACTGTTGAAACTAAAGATAGTGTAGTCTTAATGAGAAATAAATTCTGAATTAGTATGTGGGAGAAACAGAAGAGTGTGATTTTGTGTAGTTGAGAGAAAATAGAAGTCTGCACAGGTATGAGGCCAAAAAACAGTCTACTAATAGAGGTGCTTTGAAAAACCAGAGGCATTAAACCATGGATTTCAGTCTTTTCCGCTCAATGCTTTTTGTAATCCTCTACAAGCCCCAAATAAGTGAAAGGCAGGTCCTATTTTCACTATGAAACAATGCTTTCAAGAGATCAGCGATAAATAAGCCATCTCAGTAAGGGGGAAGACTGGAAAGGGGTGTTCCAAATACCAGTTGTCACAATCCATACAACCTTCCGGGAGTTTAGTCTCGATAAACCTGCATTCAGCACGGGGTGTGGTTTCCCCCTTTTCCAAACTCTAATGCCTGATAAGCCAAATCGGGTGTACACTGAGAACAGGTGCAGGCTATCGTGGCAAAACCACAAATGTCCTTGTAAAAAAGACATCCCCCCTGGGATACAGGGTGGCTTTTAGTAGCCATACTCCATGTCTGGTTTTGTTGTGGAGCTCAGGTGTCAGTGTTCCTTGGGCAAAGTGGCAACTACATTATATCTGCAATTTCAAATTGCACGTGTTTTGTTTTGTTTTTTTAAGATAAGCCCAGCCCTGGCTGGTTTGGCTCTGTGGATAGAGCATTGGCCTGCAGACTGAAGGGTTCCAGGTTTGATTTCGGTCAGGGGCACATGCCTGGGTTGTGGGCTCAATCCCCAGTGGGGGATGTGCAGGAGGCAGCCAATCAATGATTCTCTCTCATAATTGATGTTTCTCTCTGAAATAAAAAAAGATAAGCCTAGCCAGTGTGGTTCAGTAGTTAAGCATTAACCTATGAACCAGGAGGTCATAGTTCAGGTCCTGGTCAAGGTACATGCCTGAGTTGCAGGCTCATTCCCCAATTGGGGGGGGGGGGGCTGAGGGAGGCAGCTGATCCATGATTCTCTCATCATTGATGTTTCTCTTTCCCTCTCCTTCTCTGAAATAAAAATATATTTAAAAAAAAAATGAAGACCACCCTTACCCCACAATCTTCATAAAAGCTGTATTTGCCAACTCATCCTTTGAGCCCAGTGCCTAGAATAGTACCCATATCAACAAATGAAACCTACACTCTAGCCAGAAAGGGCAAACACAGAAAGCAAGAAACATGAACTACAGCAACCAGTAACATCAAACTAACCCGTCATTTCAGAGAAGTGGAAGCAGGACATGAAGGCGGACCTGCCACTAGGGGGCCAGAGTCCGTGGCAAAGGAAGTTTGGGGACATTGGAAACAAAAATGTGTATATAGAGGACCTGGGGCACAATGCCATTTTAAAGCAAAAATTAATCCCTTAGCTAGAGACCTACCCAGTGCACTAGGAATTATGCTCTAAAATTGTTCCATTTAGTAGATTATGTCTTTTGTTAATGCAGGTAAGATCCTCAATAGAAGACAATGAAACAAGAACAAAGGCTTTCGTATTTGGATAGTCAAACTCTTCAATGTAGGAAGCATATGCTAATGCAGACAACCTAGAATTTAATTATTTCTTTAAGGATACACTATCTTTGTAGTGAGTTTTTCCCATAAAATATCTGCAAGGATATTTCACTACTTGGCTGATAATCCAGCTGCCCCAGAACCCTGGGTAATTTCATACTAATGTCTTCACTTTAGTCTCAGCACCTGCATATAGTGAGCACTCAATTATACAGGGGCACTAAGGTTGCATTTACTTTTTAAAATTGTACTTTATGTCATGATTGGATCTGGATTTGACTTTCTCTTGACATTCACAGATGTCACCTATGGTATTTTCTCTCACACATACCTATAGCCAAAGTAACTGTTTAAATATTCCATGTTGCATCTGAGAAAGGAGGTCTGTAAACACTTCAGAATTCTTCTTCCAAAACTGTCAATTTTGTTTTGGAAAAACACTTTCCCTTCCTGTTTTATTTACCTTCACAGTTAAAAAGATTACTGAACATGTTGTGAAGTGTCCTTACCTTTTGACTCCCAAAGCAGGTATTTGTTGAAGATTCTAGCACACATTAAACAATGCAGTTATGACAGAAAACCATCTAGGACTGGCTCAAAGCAAACACAAGCAGAGTCACTGCCCAGGGAGTCTTCTCCTCCTTGACCTCTGGAGCCAAGATGCTCCATTCAGGAAGGTGCCAGGATAAGAGGCCTGCATTTATATTTTCATCTAAAAATCAAGGGTTGAATAAAACCCCTAAAGCCAATTCTAAGGGAGCTTCTAAAACTACATAAACCATGAACGAGTTTAAAATGTAGGAAAGCCTTATACTCCATACCGAACACACCAATTGACGTGTAAAACTGGCAAGTAGTTTCAGACAGTGGATTTAAGAGCAGCTCGGTGGTGAGATGGTGATCTTCCTTTGTGCATCTTTACAGTGCGTCAGAGGTCCCTCCCAGGTGCTGACCCCCCACCACAGTGGCAGGGGCAGGATACCACACCCCTGTGGTCTTTCCACTGAACTGGGAACTCTGATCTCAGATCCCCATTTAAAAAAAAACAAACAGGAGGGAAATGTTTCCTTGGTTTCCCACCAGCTATTACTAGTTAGAACTATTCTCTGTTCTATTATGGAGCACATTAACCCAAATAACTACTTTTGAAAATAAACATCCTGTTAAAAATAGTATTTAAGGCCACTGCAAAAGGGGTTCTGTAAAGTAACCTTCTGGGGAACTATGACACAGCCCCAACTGCAGTAGAACAGGGATTGGGGAAATTCAAGAGGGTAGGGCAGTGGGGAGGCAAAAGTGGCAGTACTGCAAAACTGTGGAGGGGGTTGGGGCTGTTAAAGGAACACGGAATGGAAGTGGATGTGAAACACACCATCCTGAAGGTGTGCAAGTGGTGGAGTCCCACTGTAGCCGCACACACTGGAAACAGACTAGCACGTGAGGCCTGAATTCAAGATTACAAGAATGTAAGTGGAAATCACAGAAAATGCTTGGTCCTTATTATAATTCATTCAAATTATATTTCTAAAATGCTATGTGTTAAGGATTAAGACAAAACCATTTGTTGTTCTAACACAATCAAGTGCCCTCTCTGGTCAAAAAAAAAACACAAAAAACACCACACAAATACAGCCGTTTACTTTAAGTTTGAGAACACTAAATAAAAAAATAAAAGTATTTTATATATGACACTCCATAGAAATAATTACATTAAAAAATCTGGCCGAAACCGGTTTGGCTCAGTGGATAGAGCGTCGGCCTGCGGACTGAAAGGTCCCAGGTTCGATTCCGGTCAAGGGCATGTACCTGGGTTGCGGGCACATCCCCAGTGGGAGATGTGCAGGAGGCAGCTGATCGATGTTTCTCTCTCATCGATGTTTCTAACTCTCTATCTCTCTCCCTTCCTCTCTGTAAAAAATCAATAAAATATATTAAAAAGAAAATAAAATAAAAAATCTGACTTCTTGAATCTCATGTTTGAATAACTAGCTAACACATATTAACAAATGTGTTAAGGCACATCTACCTTCTTCCTCCCGTAGCCATTAAGGCTGGTCAACATGAACAACTAAGAACAGAAAGTGAAAATCCTGTTAAATTCATCCCAGGAAAAGTGTGCTGAGACAGTTCTTACTGCTAATTTTAAACTGAGTCATTCATGTCCAAGATAATTTCCTAAAACATGTTTTAATATTAAATACCCACACATATGTATGAGATGCTAAGATCAATAATATACCTATTTGATTAAAACAAAACCATGAGGTCAGCTTAACATCTGAGATCTGGCATTACCACAGCCTACTTCTTAGGGCAAATGTTTCCAAAAATAAAACTCTAAGTTACTAAGTTTGTAACTCACAGTACCCTTCCCCACTCACAATTCTAGAGCTGTACCCCCAAAATTACTGGCTAAAAACAAGGTAAAGGTTTCTCTAATGGGTGAAGCTGCCATTCTTTTCCAGCCAGGATCACTAAACCTGGACAACAGCTCTCAAAAAATACATACATGAGTAATTGTAGAGTTACTCCTGATGACTAGGAATGCTAACAAAATTAAACACATCTTTGTAAAGCCCTTAAGTCCTTAAGTCCATCCGTCATTCCATCTTGAGCAAATTGTTTATAAATGGCGGGGGGGAGGGCGGGGGGGGGAAATCCAAACCTAATTATATAGCTACTTCCTTGCACCATCATAAATGAACAAAATCCCATATTGGGGAATATTACCCCAAAATACTTTTCATCAAAACCAACCACTCAAATAACTTTGCATTTTATTTCACCCTCCAGAGTTCATGGCCCTATCTATTATGTCTGTTCTGACCAAAGCACATTTTGATACTGGCGTGAATGACTGTATGAAAGGGATTTGCTTCCAAAGGACAGTTCATATTCGAGCAGTACAAAAAGGCCAAGGCATTATTCCTCCTTTTGGTTCTTTACACCAATATAGTTTCCAAGGGAAAATCACTCTAATTACCTTACAATATTTGAAAATTGTTTGCTGAAAGCAGAGAGATACTACTTTCTGTGGGGAAGAGTAGATATCTTTCAGATTCATGATTCTAAAGTAAAAAAATTAAAGGAGTGAATTTTACAGGTACATCTTTAAGAACTGGTTCAAGCTATGCATTTATTTAACCAAGATATTTCAGTCACCCCTAAGAAAAAGCCAAAATTGTACTTCAAAAAAGAAACAGTGATTTTAAACTCTTCCAAATACTTTTGTATGTGATTTTTAAAAAGTATTTTATGTGCATGTTACATTAGGGGGAAAAGTACTTTCATTTTGACGTAAGAACCAAAAACTTATCCACAAAATGAATTCAGGGTTAGCTGGAGTGGCTCAGTTGGTTGAGTGTCGTCCTGTGTATCGAAGGGTGGCCGATTCAATTCCTGGTCAGGGCACGTACCTGGGTTGTAGAGGTTCAATCCTCAGGGAGCATAAGGAAAGCAACCAATCAATGTTTCTCTTTCTCTCCTCCCCCTACCCCCTCTCTAAGTATGTCCTTGCATGAGAAAAAAAAAATTCAGAATGAGCAGAGACTTAAGCTTACATAAATAGCAAATTTAAAAAATGCCAAAAATTAAAATGAACTAAGGCAACCGATCTTAAATTGCATTCTAAAAAACTGGTCAAATAATGGAAATAACTTTAGAGCTACTGAAGCCAAGAACAACTTCATTTAGAACATTCAGGTAGTGGGGGGGGGGGGGATCTTTTAGTAATCAAGAATTACTGCCCTAACATACCATTCACAGCAAGTACATAATGGTAAAATGAAAAAAATCAACTCTTCCTTTCCCATAAAGGAGAGTGGCAGCAGGCACGGGGGTGGGAAGAAGACAACTATCTATGCTTACAAATATGAATGTATACACACACACACACTCTTAAGTGACATGCGAGGCAATCTCAGGACTGGAGTACTAGAAATTTTAATGAGCAAATAATTAAAGCAATGCTCAGTAGACAAATGGTTAACACTGGAAGAGGAGCTATTAAAGTTTATCTGGTGTCAAGCAATGATTTCTCCTGTGATCGTGACAAGTATTATTTCATGTATATATAGAGCAGTGCTCAACCTTAGGTTTGCATAATTATTACCTGCAAACTCAAGTGCCAGGCATCAAACACATTTTCTCCTTAACTGACATCCTCAGGTTGTTAGGAATGGCAGTCTGTGAAAGCTGCATGGTGAGTTTAGTGTGTAAGATGTGAATCTCTAACTCTGGTTTGCCTAAATCAGTGATGGCGAACCTATGACACGCGTGTCAGAGGTGACACGCGTACTCATTTTTTTGGTTGATTTTTCTTGGTTAAATGGCATTTAAATATATAAAATAAATATCAAAAATATAAGTCTTTGTTTTACTATGGTTGCAAATATCAAAAAATTTCTATATGTGACACGGCACCAGAGTTAAGTTAGGGTTTTTCAAAATGCTGACATGCCGAGCTCAAAAGGTTCACCATCACTGGCCTACATGAATCCTTGTCTGGAGAAGGAAGATAAAATCCCTAAAAACCTGCATAATGCTTCAAACTAAATTTGTGTAGTAGTAGGATTTAGGAAACTTAGGACAAAAACAGCGAGATATTGGCCAAATCAGCTCACCATAAAACCTTCAGAAACTAGTTTTAAAAAATCTCTAGGGACATTTCTGCATCTTAGTAGAATGTTAAGTGTCAAACCTTTAAAAAAAAAATCACACCAGAATTTAAGATTTATCTTACCAAACTACACTAATAGACATAGACAGAATGAGGGTACAATGAATCTAACACTTAGTATCATTCCAAAATATTAATCAGGCATTAAATTTTAAAAAGCATTTTTAAAAAGTATATGCTTAAAGAGCTGTAAAAATACATTAGAAAATATATAGTGAAACATGTTACAAATAAATGACAATGCTGAGCAACACTTTATTAAAAAACACTTTTGAAGTAGACATACCTCCGTGTGTTTTCTCATAGCACCTTCTCAATTAAAATCATAACCTATAAATGCTATGAATTTGATAAGTTCATTCATTCAAGTCAGATAACCATGTTTTTATAGTGACCAAGATTTCTGAAGTTATGAAGCAGATATTACGATTTTTGTCATAAAAAACACACACAAAAAAACCTTTTGTCTGGATATACCCATTAGAGACAAAGTAGTAGAGATGATGTTGACCCATAAAATTTAAACACCTCTACCCAGCAGTTTATTCTCATACTATACTTGTATAGTTGATTTAATTTTTTTTTTTTTTTTACTCATCTGAGGCTATTTTCCCATTGATTTTTAGAGAGTGGGAGGAAGGGAAGGAGAGGGGAAGAGAGAAACATCAATGTGAGAGACATACTGACTGGTTGCCTACCGCATGCACACTGACCAGATTGGGGAGAACCTGGAACTGAGGTATGTGCCCTTGACTGGGAATTGAACCCTTGATCCTTTGGTTTATAGGCCAACACTCTTAACCACTGAGCCAAACAAGTGAGGGCTAATTTTTTTTTTAAGTCAAAGGGCACAACTTTGTATTTTCAGCAAATCTTATCTGAGTGCATAATTTCAGTGATTACTTTTCACTGTCATCTCTCAATTTCCTCTGTATAAGTTTGCTAAATATTCCTGCCAAGTTATTAATTTGTCCTGTTTAAGATATTTTACATATAGATATACGTGTATGTAATTTTTTCCTAAATAAAAGTTTTTTTCCCAAAGTAAAGAATGACTGCTTCTGATTATTTGCAAACTCCAAAACTAAAGATAAAAAAGTGGATGAATACCTAAAACTTGACTTACCTTACATACATAAGTCCTCAAAGTGACATACGAGATCTTGCGACAAATACACAATACCCTGTGGGTCATTGAGACCAGCGGAGGCCAAATCACAGTGCAAGTGGAACAGTACAGCCAACATCTACCTTCCCAGATGTGACACTATGTTTTACTACCAGACCAACAATTGTTATAAGCTCGGGGACATTTACAGGAAACAAAGAAATCAGGCACAGGGGCAGATTTTTTTTTTTAATAGTTGTATTTCCAACAGGTACAACAAACAAGAAAAACCTTTCTAATTCATGGAAGGTAAACCTGGGCATGCAGAAATGTTATCGACACACATTTATATTGAGCTGTCAACACTGCCCTCTTACATTCTCCCCTTTTGTTAAATGGCCAATCTTCAAAGTAGCAATACAGGAAAAACTCCACCTTCACTGCACCAGAATCCTCTGGGCACAGTACCACCTTAAGTGAAGGTCTCATCTTGAGGTGCTTTCAGCCATAAAAAAGAAAACATGTTAAAGAAAGTAAACACTCGCCTACAAAGTGGTCTCACCTTCGGTTCTAGCTTTCTTCACTTCAAAGGGTTCCGAATCTTCCAAGCATCTCTTGCGATTTGTTCCCATACTAACATGATTAGGAAATATATTCTGATGGCCCCCATTTAAGGTGCCATTATTATAGAAACGGTTTAGATGACAATTCTGGAGGTTCAAGAGAAACTGGGTACATTCTTGGAAACCCTGGGTATGAGCAATGTCTGCTGCTGTCAGGCCACTGGCATTTCTCAGGCTGCATAACACAAAAACACTGAATTACATCCCATTAGCATTTCCAGCTGGTGTCTGCTCCTGCCGAACTGACTAACTATCTGAAGGTGATATGAAAAAGTATATAGATTTACAGCAAGTCTTCATTAAAGAAGGCGTTACTCATCCTAGCTCTGTAACTAACTTCTCTCTTATGCACATTTGATTACTAAGCAAGATTTGGGCGATAGTAATTTAAAAATCAATATAGTAAACTTTAAAAAAAGGCATCTTCCTATTTAACTTCTCAAAATCATTTTTTGTTAGTCTGAAGAACCTAAATTTATGCTAACTTCAGACTTAATCTGAATTCTATATTATTGGTACTTAATTTTAATAATCCATTCCTTTAGCTTGAGTAAAATCATTAACAAACAAACATGTACTGAAATTGTCCATGGCATTCATAACAATCAGCTTCCTAAAAACAAAGGTATGCAATTGCTTACCAACAAGCCAGATTTTATGTGACACTATAAGTGGAAGTTTAGAAGGATGTCCTGACATTAAAATAATTTGTCATTAGACTGGAGATATGAAAAGCTGAGTTTTTGGGTTTTTTTTGGCCTTGCTTAGGAAAACTTAAAGGAATTGTCATTCTAGAGCAGTGGTTCTCAACCTTCCTAATGCCGTGACCCTTTAATACAGTTCCTCATATTGTGGTGACCCCCAATTTCATTGTTACAAATTGAACATAATTAAAGCATAGTGATTAATCACAAAAACAATATGTAATTATATGTTTTCCGATGGTCTTAGGCGACCCCTATAAAAGGGTCATTTGACCTCCAAAGGAGGTCACGACCCACCGGTTGAGAACCACTGTTCTAGAGCATTATGAGTGGACTAGAGGCCCAGTGCACGAATTTGTGCACCAGTGGGGCCCCTCGGCCTGGCCTGCGGGATCACGCCGAAACCTGCTCTCTGACATCCCCCAAGGGGTCCCAGTTTGCGAGAGGGTGCAGGTCAGGCTGAGTGACCCTACTGGTGCATGATCAGGACCGGGGAGGACCGCAGGAGGGCTCCAGGGCATGTCCGGCCCATCTCGCTCAGTCCCTATCGGCTGGACCCCAGCAACAAACTAACCTATCAGTTGGAGTATCTGCCCCCTGGTGGTCAGTGCATGTCATAGTGACTGGTCAACCAGTTGACTGTCTGCCTCTTGGTGATCAGTGCCCATCATAGTGAGCAGTTGAGTGGCCTTAGCTTATCATTAGTATATTATGCTTTCATTGGTTGAACGGACAACTGGACAACTGGACCCTTAACATATTAGGTTTTTATTATATAGGATATTTCCTGTGAAAGACAGATACTATTCTAGGAACTCATGCCCTAAGCTAAGAGTTCTACTACTGAAAAGCATCAACATCTTAACGTGGTTAATATCACAAGTAAAGGTCTGATGTCTTCTATAGTAGCTAAGATTCAAATTAAAGGAGGAAGTGGTGGTGTAAGTGAGAGATCTGAATAAGATGAATATAAAAGAACCAGTTGAGCTTGTAGATCTTAATTAGGAAACAATAAACATTTAGAGAACAAAAGCAACTCCATGTTGAAGTTCCCCTGGAGAACAAGAAAATACACTGCTCTGTGAAATAAATCTGTAAAAAAAAGCAAAACAGGTTGTTAGGTATAGGTTGATAAACTGAATTCGCAGAAATACCAAACAGCAAAGCTATCTCCATATTTACTCAGCAAGCTATGCTATGAACAGAGCAAAGGTATGATCAAATAAGGCTTTATTTTGTGTAAGTGAAATAACCAATGCAGAACCTTTGATTCTTGTTTCCTAGGTTAATATTAATGCCAAAAAAGAAATTTTTTTTTTCCAGAGAGAAAACTGCTGAATCAGGGGCAAATAAGGGCCTTTCATTTTCAAAGATAAAAATAAGCTGTGAATTCATATTTCCAGCCATCATACTCATAACGCTCCACCTCAGAAACAAAAAATCTATATATTCTTGGATAATCACTAAACATGTCTTCACTTCTTAGAAGAAGACAAAGAAATGTACTATACATTTTGAAGAAAGGCAAAAGCCCAAACTCAATTTTATCAGATATAAAAGAGACAATTCTTACGAATTCCAGAAACCAACAATATTTTCTTAAACATAGAAGGCAGTTGTGTGTGGCTACTGGGGACTAAAATTGACATTTTAATTTTACCTCACGGATGTGAATTCTGATGAATATTATTCTAGAATTCTTAATGTTAACTACTGAAATTTGGGCAGAGCAAATTACATTTATACAAAATAGTATTTTTAATTTTTAATATCAACTTGTTATTCAAATGTAACTCTAATGTGTACAGCTGGACTATTTTTAAATGATGCATTTCATTTTTGGAAGATATCACAAGCGAAGATGGTCCAGAAAGGTCTACTTCTTCAAGAATGTAAACACAAAAACAAAAGCTGCCACCTGAAAATTTTTTTAAATCTTAGTTTTTCCGAATTTGAAAAGATGAAGACCCAGAACGTAAGCAAACTTTATACAATGATCATTTCTACAGGTAAGTATGGACTTGCTCTCTGAAATCAAAGAATACAGAAATGAGAGGTTGATGCTTAAAATTAGAATAGAGTTGACAGTAAAGATTACTCCTTAGTGGATCACAGAATAAAAAAGAATAGTACATAGATTTTAAAAAATGGAATCTACAACCATAAATGCCAGCTCACCAACAAAAACTTGTGTAAGGAACATACCAACATTTTGAAGTCGCTAAAAAGACTAACATTCAAAATACACCCAATTCCTTTACTTTTCATTCAGAAACTTAACAGTAGACTGAATTTAGGCTAGAATAGCAGTTTACTGTTCTTCCAAGGAAATAGAACCTTAAAGAAAAATAAGCAACAAATTAGTGCCAATATCCAGAGATCCAGAGACCATAGAGATTGTAAGTGTTCAAGTGGGATTGTATGTCTTAATAAAAGACCTAGACATCACCACCCTACCTCCTCCCTTACCAAAAGTAGTCAAACACTTGCACATCACTTGATTGAGAAAGAGCCAACCAAATTTCCAAGTTGTGTCAGGCATTATCTTCAAAATTCAAAAGAAGAACTAGAGCCAACACATGCTATATACTCCCTATGCATGGACCAACCAAGTGAGAGAGAACAGTAACAAGTCAGACTGGTTCCTCACATTACTTTGGGGAGCCAGAAATTAGAATGATCCAAAAGGGAGGTCTACATACTCTATAAATGTATGGACAGATATCATGATCTGGGACATTTGATGACTGTGGAAGAATTGGGAGGTTATAGTTTTGGCCATATCCCTACAGTATTATAGGAAAAAGACATAAAGTATCCTTTCTCTACTTCTAGGGAGCTATAGAAGATTTCAACTATATTATTTCTCAAGTTACTAAGGACTGAATACTGGTATACACAACATATAGTTTACTTTAATAGACTTTATATTCCTCTGAAGCAAAACATCTGTTAACACCTGACATTGATACACAACAACCAAAACCACTATTCCCCTCTTCTGCCTCTAATGTTTTCCTTCCCATGTCCTCTCCTACTTACTTACATTCATTCCTCCATTCTCTACCCCTGTGGAATGTTTAACTCCCTAATTCTGCTCTCCTCACATTTAAAAACTTACAAGTGGCTGCTCAATCACAGAATGCACATTACAAAAATTGACAGGAAAGGAACATTAGGGATCATCTAATTTAGGGGGGGACACTTTTCTTTTTCTTTAAAGGGCTAGAAAATATTTTAGGTCTTAGAAGCCACAGACTCACTCACAACTACTCTGTCATTTTAGCCTGAAAGCAAGCCTCAGACAATATATAAACAACTGAGCTTAAGTGTGTATTAGCAAACCTTTATTTATATTGAAACTAGAATTTCATATAATTTTATGAATCAAAATATTATTATTCTTTTGTTTTTTGATCAACCATTTAAATATGTAAAAATCATTCTTAGTTTATGGGCCATTCAAAAATAATCAGCAGGCTGGATGTGTTAACAAACTAATCCTCTCTATTCTTAATAACTGTCTATGGCAGTGGTTCTCAACCTGTAGGTCGTGACCCCTTTGGCAGTCGAACGACCCTTTCACAGGGGTTGCCTAAGACCATTCTGCATATCAGATATTTACATTACGATTCATAGCAGTAGCAACATTACAGTTATGAAGTAGCAACGAAAATAATTTTATGGTTGGGTCACAACATGAGGAACTGTATTTAAAGGGCCAGAAGGTTGAGAACCACTGGTCTATGGGTTCCTGAAAAAAATCTTCCTAGTAAAGACTTTTTCTATTTTATGCACTATTCAATTCAAACAAAAGGAAACCTGTATTTATAGGTCTTAATTCCTCAAACCACTTTTTAATGTTAAATAAAGTAGAGAGGACTTTCATATGAACTATAGAGGCTGAAAATCACATGGGTTTCCAAATAAAAACTGGAATAATCATTACATGGTACCATTCTCAAAACACTTTAATGTTTAACAAAAGCAGCTCAGGTCTTTAAATTCTTTTTTCATATAAGCTGTCTTATTTGCTAATAAGCATGTCTCAAATGTTGTTTTAAAATTTTGTCTTAAGGGCAGAATCACTAATTCTGGTTATATATCATCAATTTATTAACCCTTCAAACTCTATTTATAGTGTTCCAAGTTTAAGTAGGTATTAAACCTAAGCTATCCCATTATTTTCCTAAAACTCAATGGGAGTTGGGCACATGAATGTGGCTTAAGATTGACAGGTTCTATAACAACTTCACATAAAATGTGGTACTTTGTTCTTTTAGAGTACTTTTTAAGCAGTCAAGCTTTCACCTTTCAATCAATCCATAGTGTTCACTGTGGTGTGATAGGCCACACTGCACTAACAGCTGGCCACTCCTATGAACCTCAAGTGAGGTACTGATAAAGACAAAAGTTAATCTGAACTGCAGTCTTTACAGTATCTGGAAGAAAATCTTCAAAATTATTCTCT